CCCGCCAAATTGGCTAGTGATTTGACAGCGTTACCCGCCACAGCTGATTTTTACCCGCATTTGGCGGGTTGGCGGGTGTTAATTTCAAACCCTGTATATATATATATATATATATATATTTATGTATATACAGTATACTGTATACAGTATATGTATATATATATACACACACGCACACATATATACAGTATATATATATATACACACACATATATATATATATATATATATATATATATATGAGAAAAATTGTATATGTGAATTTAAAATATAGAATAATAAATATATTGCATTTTTTATAATGTATCACAGGCTCTCAAAAATGAATAAAAAACAAAATAAAAAAAATATTCTCTGCAATTCTCTCTGACGAATTGCTTTGTTCCTGTTTTGCGCTCCACTTTTGATAAAAGCATCTGCTAAATATGCAAGAAATAAGCATTTTAACTATGACTTTGGGAACCAGTGAAACCCATATACCAATATTTCCATAGAACTAGTCCAAAAGGTCACAGAATTGTCGTTTTTGTGCTTTTTTGTTAGTGCCTGTCACATGCAAATGACAAGCTGAGTGTTATACCTCAGAGCTCTTGTCTGGGAATATTTGCTTTTCCCTCTCCTGCCAGTGTCGGTCGGCCGACCCTCACCATCGGATCTGTTTCCAGTTAGGAGTAACATTCCAGACCAGGGTCAGCCGACCATGTGCAAAGCTTTCATTCTGTATGTCACTTTTTTCCTAACCAAGTTGTAAAGCATAAGTAATTGTGAGCAGATAATTTTTCTCGCTCTTGAAATTCAAGAGTTCTTCCACAAGAAGGCAGAGACATGGCTACCATGTGGTGCAGTCACCCAGTCTGCTCTTTCACAACACAATTAGCTGTGCTGAAAGGTATTTGCCATTACTCAAAGCACTACACTGTAGCCTACTTTTCCGATTCAAAACTGACAAAGAACTTATTCTGTGTTATATATGAATTCACTAAATGCATAGCAGACGCAGTAGATTTGTTCCATCAATCCTCTGATAACAAAATGAATGCTGTATTCTAATTGTTTTGGAACTAAAGTAACATTCTACATATTGTATACTCTGTAGTACCATGAGATCTAATGGTTGGTTTGGGAGGGGTAAAGTACCCTTCTCAGAAAGAGAGTAGTTTTTTTTATTATTAATCTTACCTGAAATATCAAAGGGTGGGGGTTCAGGGGCGTCAGAGAGGGTGGTCTTCTCCTCTCCAGCCAGTGGCATACTCTCTCCTCCATCAAACATACCAAACACACTCACTGAATACTTAGTGCCGGCCCTGAGATGAGAGAAACACAAATCAGTCAACAACCCTATCTATCAACCTCAAAAGGCTAATATATCACAATTCATGGTTTTCACATGACACCATACGCTTACAGGAGTGGCCACCTGGAGGGCAAAACAAGGCTTTCTCTGCTGTCTACCAGTTTTTGTATTTTTACCAGGTTTATATTACGTACTCAAATACAAATACAGTGATTTTAAAAGACTAAATTCAGTACACATTATTGGTGAAGCTTACTATATACAGGCAAGCAGCTGCATCCGGAATATGAAAAATGGCATGCTAAACTTTTTCCCATAGAAAACTGGTATAAATAAAAGGCTTAATGTAAGTGAGACTGATATTAGAGGACCAAAATTAGTATACACCTTAACAATTAAACATAATATGTACAAGCAAGCAGATGAGCACAGTATATAAAATCAACACACAAAGTTTCACGTTAAGCATTTTCCCATAGAAAACCATTATAAAGAGAACGCTCAATGTGCAATTTAGTGCATTGCATTCATATTCTGAGCTCAGCTGCAATTTGATCTTTTAATATCACTGTATTAGTTTATTAATTATGAAACAAATTTAATGTAATTCAGTTATAAGTAGCTCTACAGACGACAATAGTGTCATTTTCCAGCTCAATTTAATTCAATGTTGATACAAATCAGTTCAATAATAGTTTGGATGTTGCAGATTTTCCAGTGTTCAATCTAAATATTTGTGGCTTGAAACAGATGGAACTTTGATGGAAAACTGATGCTGAAGTTCTATGGATGTTTTGCCCTACAGGTCTTCATGACTGAAAGCTAACATGTTTTAAGAATGTACATGTTGTCCATTTGATATCACAGTGACTTTAAAGGTGTTTATAGGGTGTATCTTCAATGTTCAACAGACGTCTGTGAAGTTTTTCATGTGTCTGCATTGGCGTCTCATACCTTAGCTCCTCCAGAACCACTGTGTTGTCATAGGGGCCTACTTGCAACTCTCCCAGGTCCATTTCCTCCCCTGTGGGACGGAAGGTGACCTTGTAGCCCTTCACATTCCCAGGAGCATGGTCCCAGGTCACCCTGAAACTGGTTTTAGTGGGTTCTGAAGTTTGCAGGTTTCTGGGAGCTTTATATAGAGACACTGCAGAGGAAATATAGGGTGTCAAATTAGACAACAAAGAGGATGAACATGTTCACATTCAAATAACTTTAACCTCAACAACTTCTGCCGCACCTCAAGTTGTCAAATATCTGCTATTAACTTACACGTGGTTCCTTCTCCTTGTCTTTGTCTTCCATCACCAAACTTGTAGACGGGAACCACTGTGATATCGTAAGGGGTTTTTGGCTGCAGTCGTCTCAGGACTAAAGTGTTAGTGCCCCCTGGTGCTTTGGAGGCCAACTGGCGTGTCTCACCCTGAGGTTTATACGATACCCTATAATTGACAACATTGCCGGGTGCTGGCTGCCATGTTACTCGCATGGTCCTCTCTGTTTCTTCTGAAACCGTAAGAACTCTGGCAGCGGCTGACACTGTCGGGGAGATAAATGAAAGACAATGTCCATTAAACGTTGGACTGATTCAACCACATTTCCTAGGGGTCAGGAAAACCAAACCATCTGAATAATCATAGTTTGTCTGCCAAGATAATCTTGATCCAACACAGACCACGGCTCTCCAAACCGGGTGAAACCAGACATGTCGAAATGGTTGTACGTCATGCATAACGCAGACACTCTAAGACTGTCTGCAATGTTCTCTTTTTATGCCGTGACCGGAGTGTTTTTACGCAAGAGGGAAAGGAATGAATTGTCCGCTTTTAACCGGCCTACGGAACACTTTCAGATGGAGAGACCTTTTACAAATTGGGCGTTTTATGGATGGAAAATAACACTTCCAAGTTTTCCAAGAATACCTGATCCAATAGGACACCATGTGTTAATGTTGGTATTGAAGGAGGTAAGGAATAGAGTGATGGCAGCAGACATAAAATGGAGACGCCTAAGCCAGAAGACTTCTGGACTTTTTAGATGACAGACAGCAAGATAAACCAATTATAAATTTCAGCACGCTTAACCAGTGAGTTGCCCCACTGAATAAGTAAGAGGATGCCATAAAGTGCTGCAGAGTGTGTTGAAATCCGCCATCCCTTGATAATAGAGAGCATGTGTAAATCATTAAATCAGCCACTACACGCACTCCATACACTACACCCACCATATGTTACAATAGCCCACAGCGAAGATATTTTAGAGGAAACAGTGGTAATGACGCAAACCTATAGCAATGACGTTCTGGCCCCGCTTGGTGTTGAGCTTATGAAAGGAAATGGAAGTCACTCTTTCACTTCTTCCACATCAGAATGAACACTGAGACATTTCTGTTTCAGAGCGTTTGTCTCCAGCATACTTGAGAGAGCATGTCATTATGTTGCAGAGTGTTCTTAAAACTGACATTAAACTCGAAAACTGATTTTGTCATTTTCTGAAGAAAATCTAAGTGATGTTCAACCCAAAATGCAAAACTGGATGCCAAGACGTTGAAATTGCATATGTATATATGATTGCTTGGGTGTTATAAAGGCGCAGTGTCATTTGCAAAATTTCATGGACAAAAAAGTGCCTTTGTGTGAATTGTCTAGCAATGCACTTTCAAACCATGCAGCTTTCTGTTGCTCGACGCGGCAAACTCATGGATTCATGGAATTTGCTTGAGTAACTTTTTTACCCTCACACACGGATTTCTATTGATAATTACTAGATTTCGCCCAAGGAATTTCGATAGGCAATGGTCAATGCGACTGCACCTTAATTGGTTGCTTGTTGGCCCACCCTCAAGTCTGTATGATATTCTGGTCTCTAGATATGGCTTGGGTGTAAGTCTGTGGGTTTTGTCATCCTTCAGGTAAAAAATGTGGTAAGTCTTCATTCATTGTTAAGACATCACATAAGTCTGCAAAAAAATGACTGAACTCATCTGAGTTACACGGATTATCAAGCACCACACATTTTTTATTTATTTGCTAGTAGCTCAATTGTGTTGAGTGTAATTTTCAAACTTTGCACTGACTGGTTCAGATTGGTAGGGCAGATACTTCATTGAGGTGTATATGCATGTCAGTGAAATATTCGGACATTATATACAGTATATCAAGTTTTTTTCCTCTCTGGGGTAGGTTACCTCAGGACGAGGGGCCCACCTCAGACACACAGAGCGAGGTAAAGAGCGTTTGGTCATATGCTGGATTCATTACGCAGGCGGGAATGGACTTACCATCTGTGGTCTCCTCTCCATGGAGCGGCTCCCCCTCCTTACTGCTGTAGGCAGCGTAGACAGAAACCTTGTAGCGGGTCTCCGGTGTTAGTCCGTCCAGAACAGTGGTGGTTATGTCCCCGGGGACGGTTTTCTTGCCAGCTTCCTCCGAAAAGAGGGATTTCCAGGTGACCCGATAAAGGCGGACGTTGCCAGGGGCGGCAGTCCAGGATGCCACAAAACTGCTCTCGGTGACATCCGAAGTAACCAGATTCGTAGGTGAGCCGAGTTCTGAATGATTGAGAAAAAAGACACAAAAATTTTAAAAACATCATAATAGTCTGGTCACAGAGAAGCAACAAACACTTCCATTAAATAAGGCTACCTTGGCTAACTAGTCACCCAGCCTGGCCAAGCTGGTAAGGCAGTCATGTTTCAAAGGTTTTAGAAAGATCTCTGACACCTACAGTGTTCAGACTGGAAGACACACTTGTTAACACCAGTTTGGCCAGGCTTAGAGACTAATTAGACCAACAAAATACTAACCAGGCTACATTGGTTAACTTGTCTAGCAGGATGGCCAAGCTTGTTAGGAGGATGTGTTATCATGGTTTTAAACAGGTTTCTGACAGCTAGTCAGGCTGCGGGACAAACTTTCCAATCACCTAAACCAGTTAACACCAGTTTTGCCAGGCTTAAACACTGAAAAGGACCAACAAAGTCCAGCGAAATACTGTATAGGTGGGTTTAAGCAGCCTGTGTTGTTTAACCAGGCTGTCCAAGCTTAGGCAGGCATGTTTTGGTGGCTTTAGGGATGTTTCTGACGCCTAGTCCAGCTGGGAGCCCTGCTGAAAAAAACAGCATGAATTCCATGTTGATCCAGGCTGGTTTATGCTGGTTAGAGCTGGTATAGTTCTGGTCTACCTGATGGACCAGCATTCTGTTCTCAAGCAAAATTGAGATTGAGTAGTTGGTTCACCAGCATTCCTGCTTCCCTTACTTGGTCCTGCAAACCAAAAATCAGCATGCCACATAAGCATACCTTATGTTGGTGACCACCAGTGCTGGATTTTCACTTGCTAATCACCTAAAACATTTAACACCAGTTTGGCCAGGCTTAGAGACTGATTAGACCAAATAAGACAAGAAACATACTGTAGATGGGATTTTTTTAGGTTATTTACAATAGGTACAGTTTTTTTGTATTTTATAGGTACAAAAGTTTTATTTTTTTTGTATTTTTCAGAGGTTGACGGGCCTGATCAAAGCAGAGCAGTGGTCTCTTATAAAAGTAGAAAATTTAGAACAAAATAAATCTGAGAAATTTGAGTGAACTCTTCAGTTAAATGAGCATTTATCTAATTCTCCACTAGTCTGTCTAAAACGCCGGTAGCTCGCGATTGCTTTGATTTACTCTGTCAGCAACGCGTACCCTGGAAAACAGCTCTGCAAAAATAATTTCTCTCTCTGCTGCCACACATCTGTCATCACATCTACTTTCCATTGAACACGAAACTCGATCCATTAAACACAGACTGCTAAAACTGCAGATGTAGCTCGCTTTTTGATCTGCGCCATACCACCTACCTATCTTCACACTCTCTCTTTCTCTCAGTTCTATGTTGAGTGGCCCAAAACAAAAGTTGTCGACACACGAGGTTGCAGAGGTGTTGAGTGGTTTGGTCATTTTATTACCCACCAGGTGAAAAACCTGTTTACTTAGTAAACAGCAACACACACATTCGTGTTTGCAACATCAAGTTATGGACTGAAGTTTAACAGTTAATAGTTGAAGGACATGCATGCCTTAGCGAACACCAATAACTAATTTGAGAGTACAAAGACCAAATTTTGTTGAGAGGGACAGTAAAACAAGAAGTTTTTTGATGTTCCAATTAATATGTGAGCAGTGCTTGCCAGTGCCAAAGTTGTCGACACACGAGGTTGCAGAGGTGTTGAGTGGTTTGGTCATTTTATTACCCACCAGGTGAAAAACCTGTTTACTTAGTAAACAGCAACATACACATTCGTGTTTGCAACATCAAGTTATGGACTGAAGTTTAACAGTTAATAGTGGAAGGACATGCATGCCTTAGCGAACACCAATAACTAATTCGAGATGAAACAGACAGAGAAATTAGGACTCTGAAGTTGTTTCTACATCCAGCATAGAGGTCTGATTTTACTGACAGAGCACAGAAGAGAGCAGATCATATGTTAATGTCTTCTGCAGGCTGCTTTTGATTGTTAAAATGCAGACAAACTGCCAATGCCAAGCACTGCAATGCACCTCTACTCAGACAACACAAGCTATTAACGGATATTCATTTGTGGTTTTGCATTGACAGAAAATGTAGCCACTAAACAGAGACGCAACAGTACAATACCGTGCATGAGTTTATTAATGCTGTCCTGATATTGTTATGTGTTGAGGCCAGATTAAAACCAGACTCCTTTTGGACCTTCACATATGCTATTTTTCCTTCTTTGACTCTTGTTTTAGCATTCCATCCAAGCAAAATGTTGATGTTAACTGGGAACAGGAGTTCTAGCACTAACGTGACTGTCATCCTGAATTATTTCACTTTGGAAACGTTTGGAGTACCTGGAAGCAAGACAAATTCTCCAATGCTGTGTCCTTCAGCCCGACACATTCTCTGACCACCTCATGCATATTAAGTGATTTTTTGGCCTTTTGCCTTTATTTCGGTAGGACAACGCTAGGGTAGACAGGAGGCAGTGGGGAACATGGTCAAGAAAGAGCTGTGACTTGAACTTGTCCGTCTGCCTGCAAGGTACTCTGACTTTGACTGACAATCTCATGCATATTAAAGACTTTTCATCCTCATTCAAACCATACAGGAAGCCAGGACTGAAAGTCACAAACAATCAACCTCTGGCGAAATATCTGTAGTATACTATAGTATGTACACTGCCATTCAATAGTTTGGGATCAGTAAGATTTTTTAATGTTTTTTTTTAATGGAGTCTGCTCATCAAGGCTGTATTTATTTGATCAAAAATACAGAAAAACAGTAATATTGTGAAATATTATTGCAATTTCTAATATTGGTTTCCTATTTTAATATACTTTCAAATATAATTTACTTCTGTGATGCAGCGCTAAATTTTCATCAGCCATTATTCCAGTCTTCAGTGTCACATGATCCTTCAGAAATCATTCTAATATGCTGATTTATTATCAGTGTTTAAACTGTTGTGCTGCATAATATTTTTTTAGAACCTGTGATACATTTTTCATTTATTCTTTGATGAATAAAAATGTAAAAACAACAGCATTTATTCAAAATATTAATCTTTTCTAACCAGTGTTGGGGGTAACGCATTACAAGTAACATTGACTTTCCCTTCAGTCTGAGGCTTATTCGTTTCAGTTTTGGTGTGAAAAGGCTTTTATATTTGCCAAAAATATAACTTTTTTATTTTAAAAACAAACAAGCAAGCCCTGTCCAGATTTAAAAAGTAATGCAAAAGTAACGTAACACATTACTTTCCATAAAAAGTAACTAAGTAACGTAATTAGTTACTTTTTTATGGAGTAACGCAATATTGTAATGCATTACTTTTAAAAGTAACTTTCCCCAACACTGTTTCTAACAATGTCTTTACTATCCCTTTTTATCCATTTAACACATCCTTGCTGAGTAAAAGTATTAATTTCTTTCTTTTCTTTTTTTTTTTAAAAGAAAGAAAGAAATTACTGACCCCAAACTTTTGAACAGTAGTGCATATTGTAACACACACACACAAAAAAATCTATTTTGAATAAACACTGTTCCTTTTAACTTTTTATTTATCAAAGAACCCTGAAAAAATATTAAGCACAACTGTTTCCAACATTGATTCTAAATCAGCATATTAGAATTATTTCTGAAGGATCATGTGACACTGAATTCTGTATATTAAAATAGAAAACTCTCATTTTAAATTGCAATAATATTTCACAAAATTACAGTTTTTTCTGTATTTTTGATCAATTAGATACAGCCTAAATGAGCATAAGAAACTTCTTTAAAAATCTTACTGATTCCAAACTTTTGAATGGCAGTGTAAGCATGTTACATGTTGCTTACATGACTACATGTAGTTGCAGTACATAACAGCAGGGGCTAAATCGAACCAGCCAAACCTTGAGCCCCTGATCACGAGTGCCAGCTTTGGCTAAATCGACAAATAACTACATCATGAACAATTTAGAACCATTTTCCATTGATTTCCTCTTTGTAGCGGTTTCATATAGACGTTATCCAATTTCAGGCCCTGGGATCTAATTTCTGGATCTTCTCACCCGTGTCCACATTCAGAGAAAGCAAACTCTGCCTCTGACTGAGTGGAATAAAAAATGACACATCTGAGAAATCAATCTCGAAGAGGTAATGAACCAGTGGGGTGGTCACAAACTGAGAACACATTGGTAACGAACATCTTGAACGTCCTTTTGAACAGCTGCCATACAAAGCTGACAAAAACAATCTTGCATGACTTACACTTGGATAATCTCAAATAACACACTGATTAAGCTTTGCGAAATTTGCATGGGATCCAACTGGACAGCGCTTGATGAGAAAATGAGGTCTGTCCTCTCTCTTCTCGCAGAATTCAGCTCATATTCAGTAAAACAGGGCAGAAGTCTTGGTTAAGAGACATAATCTGGTGCTGGCAACGATCTCGCAGCCCAAGCCCATTTTCCACAAAAACTATCATGAGACAAAACTCATACTGACTGCAACCACATTCACTAGATGTTAAAACACAAAGATGCTCTGAGACCCCTGGACCAAACTAGCGGATTTAGAAAAACAAGTTTACATTTTTGAATTAAGAAGATATGCAAGTTAACATTGGTAATGGCATTTTTTACTATTTAGTTTAATAGGCTGAAGAGGAGATGCAGTGTGAGCTGGTCAGCCCCTAAAGTCCTTGTTTAAGGTCACTTCCTAATTGCCCCGACTGGGTTTGGCCCCACAGTGCACTTTTCTGGAGGCTGAGGGCAACTAAAACAAAGAAAGCTGTGTTATGCTCCAGGATATGGAGTTGAACACATCTCAGTTTGGAAACGCCTTGTCATCGGCCAAAAATTAGTCACATGTTTCCTTTAGCTCTTCGTTGAAAGGCGGCTTGAGTCAGCATACATAATGACAAGCCTCTGAAATATGGGCTTTTGTATAATGAGCGGAGGACAGCCATTAGCGGTTCCGGTTAGATGCTGTAATCGGTCATTTTAATACGACACTGCTTGAAATCCATCCAAAGAAAGACGTGCAGTAAGTATTGGGCATTTATGGCTGATACGTTAAAGCTAAAAACCTTGGATGAAATTGTTTGGCAGTGGCTAACCTTCAGCAAGCCCACAAGTTAATGGCAGTTCTGACATGCTTTTTATCAAGAGAATATTGAGAGAGACATGTACTTCACTTTTTGCGAAAGCAAAAAAGAAAGCGTTTTTTTTTTACGTAGAAGAAACTGGTTCTTAGTGGTTTGAGACCACTCATACAAGCCAGACAGTAATAGGACACAAATAACTAGCAATCACTAAAAATCCAGCACAGTATCAAAAGACTTTGTAATCTATTTATCAACATGATGTGATTTTTAAATTAGTAACTTTTTAGAAAAGTAGAACAGAACCATATACTGTATGATTTCATTTTTAAACCCCAAATTCTGATTGCAAGACCAAGGTTAGACACTAGAAACGATTTCACCAAACCATTATCTTTTGAGGTTTTGTTTCCATTCACTCTTCTTCCAATGCCAAGCATGAGCGAGGACATTTTTACAAGCTCAGCTAATTCATCTGCTGCCCACACACCAAATGTATAAACCCAGAGCGTGGGGGAATCCACACAGTGAGATCTGTCATTAGATGACACATCTAAAGGGTCATCCATTTGGTTCCCAAAATTACGGAGTGCACTTCACACTCACAGACAACTCCGAAAGACTTTTAAGCACATCTGTCCTCTGTTAAGAGCTTGATACAGAAGCATGCGAAGAAACAATTAGAGTAGCAGAGAGCCCTGTCTAAAAACATCAAAATGTACAGCTTCCCTTTAACACTCTGTCATAAAGTTCTGTTCTACCCAAACAAAAGAGTAATATATTTAAAATTTCATTCTAAGTATAGTTCAAAATCTATATTTACTGACATATCGCTCAAGACTTACTGATATAAAATGTGACCCTGGACCACAAAACCAGCAGTGTTGGGCAGTAACGCATTACTTAGTAACGCGTTACTGTAATTTGATTACTTTTTTAGTAACGGAGTAATTTAATGCGTTATAATTTTCAAAATAGTAATTAGAGTATAGTTACAAGCCGAAGTCTCTATTAGGGATATGCCGGTATCAAATTTTCATGTTGCGATTAATTGCTAATGCTTTTATCATGGTATGCGGTATTATCACGATATTGAAATTTAAATCAGAGCGTCTCTCACATGTTCCGCCATGTGCTTCACGTCCGCGCTTGTTTACATCAGAGTGCGCACGCGTCTTTCACGCAGCATACAGCGGTGTTGTGCATTTTGACCAGTTGATGGCAAAAGTATTCTTAAAATGCATTCAAAATTCGGAATAATTTGTAATATATAATTATTCACGGTATTTAGAAGTGCCCACGATAACAATATCGTGCATATTCATTACCGTGATATATCGCATTACCGAATACCGGCACAAGTCTACCTGTGACATACTGAAGCAGAGCATGATCCCCTCCCTTCGGAGACTGGGACGCAGGGCAGTATTCCAACATGATAATGACCCCAAACACACCTCCAAGACGACCAC